GAATTTAATATAGTAATAATGCAACATCCTTTGTAAAGGCCTCAAGGAGTCAAATGCTATAAAAACCAACCAGTTCTTTCGGAGATGGACGTTAAACTTGGAGGTCCCGCCTCTTAATAACCCTGTATAGTATTGATAGGGGCGTTAACCTGTACCATTTCGCCTTTTTTGCTAAAAAAACCCAACAAAAATCAAATGGACTGTTTAATGTAAGTCTCTGCACGTTATAATAATATGGCATGACAGTCTTACACTGAGCAGTTGACATGTGCTTATTATTACTATGGTTTTTCATTATTTTGCCAAAAGTTTCTGTTGTCGTGTGTTTGTTGTGTAAAGTTACAAATAAAATATTATTTTCTATTTAGAATTGATTTCTTCAATTCTTTAGTACTGTTTTGTTTCAAGCGTATAAAATTTGGAAATCAACAATGGAAATTGTGTTTTAACATTCTTCCAGATTTTCAGACACATATATATAGTGAACAAAAACCATGGCATAATTTCCCAAGCATTATCAGATGGTGTGTATCACAATAAGACTAAGACGGTATCAGTTCATAAGTCATAGCAAAGTATTTTTGGGTGAGTCGGCAATGGGTGCAATGCAACTAGCATCTGTGGTGTAAGGGTTAGGTGCTTCACTGTCTCACTCAGAGGATGTGAGTTTGATTCCCGTGTGAGGAGAATTTTTGTCAAGTCTCTCATTCTCTCTCCTGGGACATTATTATAATCCCTCTCAGCTCACGTTGGCCCTGACAGACAAGGAAGGTCAAAGTTCGATTCCAAAACGGTCTAAATTGTGTCTATGGGAGTGTAAAACACCAACATTAATTTTAAAAGTGATGTTAACTAAACCTCAGAAGAAATAAGCGCTTGGAAGTTTGAGATATAAGCCCTATTTATGTGAGACATCCGAGTACAATATAATTGCACTGTGCTATATTATTGTCTACATGGCTTGTGGTTTCTGGCGCACAAATTTTGTTCTCGTGTGGATTGAGTTGATCATCATGTTTTATCAACAATTAACAAATTGTCTTTATCATCACAATACTTTTTACTCTCTGTCTCTCTCTGTCTCTATCTCCCCCCTTCTCTCTCTCTCTCTCTCTCTCTCT